AAAGACTTAAAGAACTTTACAAAATTAACTAACATGTTACAAAAAATAATACATTGGGAATAATACATGGGCGCGCGTAGATATGGAATTAATCTTCGAGTGTTTAACTCGATAGCTCACGAGTGAGCGCAGTGATGCTGAGGCCACTAGAAAAAGGTGACTAAGGAACTATAAAAAGAATGAAAACCGAAATAAATTACTTGATTTCCCCATAAGTCTTTGTAATAGTTTTATGGTGCCCCTCTTTGATCGCTTAGGTGACGTTCCAAACTTCCTATGTTTGAACATGTTTGCGATTCAAACATAAATACTGCTTAAGTACACTCTGTATACTACGGGGGGAGGGAGGAGTGTAATTTTCAACTTTGGACCTTTCCATGAATTTTCCTGTTTGGGATGTTTAGGCTATCATGTTATCCTACACCAAATAAGATAATTCTGAAAGTTGACAAAACAACAGAATACATGTTAAAACATGTTGAGATATATACGTTAGGAACTGTTCCTGAGAAAACCACCCACACAATCCGTGTTGTAGATTTCTATTGGTTTTCTTCATAGCAGGATATGCCTCCATTTTCTGGGCATTGAAACCCACTGCGTGCTGATATATATATAATATATATATATTATTTTTTCTCTAAAGCGTTCGTTGTAACGGAGAATCACTCTAATGTGTGTGATCGAGCCAAAAAATTTCTGCATCAATATTCACTTGGCTTGATTTAACCCTCTCACTCCCACAAGTGACCAAGACAGAATTTCTCCTTACAGTATAAATACAATATCAAGTCGGTAGGTGACGAGGGTAAAGTGAAATATCAATTCTGGGATTATTAGTTGATCCAATACCAAATTCTCTGAACTAACATCAGAAGAATTGTATGGCAGACAGAGAGGAGAATTATTAATGAGATCTTGGGAGTTAAAGGGTTAAGGACCTTTTAATCGGCAATAGAACCAATCAAAAGCAGAGTATACTCTGTATACATCACTCGACAAAGACGCCTTTGTTACATTAGTTACGGTATTCGTTTTTATCATCGTTTTTTTACGTCACACCCACAACGAAAAACCTAACTGGTGACAGAAGACTTTCATCCGGCGTTATGTGTTCCGTCTTTCGATTGTTAAAACACAACCAGGTAATATCGTCAATATAACGATCGAGGAGGTTGCTCCAAATTTTTATGGTATTTAGAAACTGTATAATTTGTCTGGAGTCTTCATATTTGCGACTTATTAAAGGACTTCAGTCTTCATCTGATAAGCCGGCAGCCGGGCACAGTCTCAAATAAACTAAATGCCCGGCGGTCAGAAATTTTCAAAGATTTTCCATCGAAAGATTCTTTCAAACCTTTTTGGGATTATCAGCTGTTTTTTTAGAAATGTCAAGCGATTCCAAAAATTTATTTATTTCCTGAGTGGACAAACTCTCCGAGCTTGAGCATCACCAAAATATCAATCGTACATGCATATCACAAAGCTAAATCAAAATATAACTTCCAGGCCATTTTGTTCCCACAGGCTTTTGACAGTCAAGAGAGATAACTGCAGATATGTCAGACGTCAATGATGAGCACAATATGAGGAAGTTCTACGATGAAGGTAAGAATTACGGTGCTAAACCAGCAAAACGAATTCATAATTTACTTGTATCAACTGAGTTGATGATGTGCATTCCTCGGAGCGAAATGACGAAGGGCTCACGCTCGGAACGTCGGCTTAGAAACTCTTTGCGCCAGTGGCCAATTTACATTAAATACCAATTTAAGTAAGTGCCCTTAAAACTTTGCATCTACCTTAAAGGCTGTATGCCACCATTAGGTGTTGCTGGATGCAGTTGGTGTGGTTTGGTGTAGTTTGATGGCATGGGTGTAGTTCTGTTTAGTTGGTGTAGTTTCTTGTAACTAATGTAGCAGGTAAAGAGTGGTGTAGTCAGTACAATTTGATGTGATTGTTGTAGTTTGGTGTAGTTTGCTGGAATTGGTATACTTCGTTTTAGTTGGTGTAGTTCGGTTTAGTTAATGTAGCTGGTGTACTTCGGTTTAACTGTTGTAGCTGGTGTAGTTTAATGATGTAGTTTGGTGACGTTTTTGTGTAGTTTGGTGTAGATCGGTCTAGCTTGTATGCTCTGCTTTGGTTTGTGTTGTTTGGTGTATAGTGAGGTGTCGGTCAGTGCAAACTACACCTTACGACAGCAACGACATGAACTACAAAAGTTACACCAAATAACGCTTAACTTCCTTACACCACACCAAACTGCACAAGTGCTTAAGTGCTAAGGCAGACATGGAACTGTCTTCGGTAATTATTTTTAGAAGCTAAGTCTTTAATTCAGCTTTTTAATTTTAACGTGGATTCTTTACAAATCTTTTCACGATTTACATTCTCAGCTTTTAAAAGTAGAATTCCGTTCTTAAGAAGTTTGATGTCGAGTATTATTGAAATTACTCTTGAATCTTGTCTGGAATATTTGTCGAAACATGTTCTGTTGAAGTTATAAGCTGTTTCCTCTTTTTCTTGTTTAGTGAAAACCGAGCTGAGAAAGACAACTGTTACTCTACGGATAGCAACACTTTTTAAAAAAATCATAGGAAACTGCTGGATAGGCGTTGGAGCATTTCTTGAGGTTCCTGAGGACGAACTTGATAGTATAGACAAGAGTAACAAAGACGTTCAAGAAAAGGCAGGTGCTATGCTCAAATTATGGAGGGATAGGGAAGGACACTGCGCAACCGTGGGCTGTCTTGAGACCGCCCTTAATCTAATCAAACAGCAAAGGATCGCAGACAGGCTTTTAGGTATTTGAATCAGAATGTTTTTTTAAAAATCATTCATCTCGATTGAATATAATCCAGAATATTTACTGATGAGGTCTTCAAATTTACTCTGATGCAACTTAAGGTGGTCACGGTGTTTTTAGTTGCTGTCAGAACCTGCAATTTGCATTTGCAGTATTAATTCACATTATCTAAATTCTCTCATCATTGATTTTCTTCGTTTCTGGAATAGACATTGCTCGAGAGGAAAAACTTAGAGAAGGCGAACGAAAAGGCGACGAGGTAGAAGAGCATCAAGAAACATGCAGCAGCCCGTTGGAAGGTATGACCAACATTTACAGAGATTTTTCCTTTACACTCTCTGAAGAATTAGTGAATGCATGAATATCGATGCATAAAACATTTCAAGTGTCTCTCGCTTTCTATATGATCTTTTCTGAATTCTTTAAAAGTTCTAAGTTGTAATGTATCCCCAGGTGACTCAGGAAGTTATAAAAAGTCTTCTTATAGTGTTCCAGGGCATCGGAAAGTATAAGAGTAATCACCTTTACTGATTCACTGTTTGAGATGCACTTTATCTCGTGTTTCAATACATTTTAATTTTTTGACCGGCGCCATTTCTTTTCTGATTACCGTTTAATAAGTTAAGCTGCATGGCGATCGGGGCCAGAATTTCTTCTCCCCTATTCAGAAGCTCAATGTCAGGCTTGTAGAGGTCCTTGTTGTGATCAAATTAAATTATTAAATCTTACTTGGGATTTACAAATCAGCCAGACATGTTTTTATCACGGTTTGTTTTGAATTGAATTCTTTGCTTCACTCTCACCAAAAACTCTCAGTGAGTAACCAACTGTGTCGTATATTCACATTGAAACAGGAAGTGAAAACGGGGAATTGGATGAGTTAAGAGAAAGTCTTAGAAAAGTTAAGGAGATGAATCAAACCGTGACGAGGCTCATATCTGGAGTAGGTGAGTTTCAGTTCTGAGCGTGCTTAACCTTTTAACCCCTGAGGGTGACTAGCTTCTAATTTCTCCTTACAATATCACCCCTTGAATCACACATTAAGGTCATGAGAATAAAGGAAACTGATAACCAACAAACGAAGCTCCTGATTGTTAAACAAATTCTTCTTGTTAGCACCTTAGGAAATGTATAGAGATAGTAAAGATAAAATGTACAATGATGATAGGGTGTAAAGGGTTTAAAACCATGCAATCGTTACGATTCTTCGAGTTGAGTTGAGTGTTTTCCAGCCTATTGTATATTTCTTTGTTTTCGATCAATCTAAGGATGTTTTTGATTAAAACGTTTTAAAACGCTTAATCTACTAGATCAAGGTTTATCATTAACTTTTAATCAAGTAAGGAAAGTTTACTTGTATTTCTTATAAATCACTTTTGTAATGATGATTAATAGAGTGCTCCTTACGATGGTTGTCTTGTTGGCTTTGAACAATGTAGATAAACTTCCCAGGAGGCAGCAGAACGCGAGGAGGAACGAGCCACTTGAAACGATGCACAACCTTCTGATGGAAGTAGCTGCATTGAAAGAGGTCATTGAACAAAAAATTTTAGTATGTATAGCGGAGAACGAAAACGTAGAAGGGTTGAGAGAAATGACTGAAAAAGTCAGAAAGTTTAAGCAAGATTTCTCATAAACGTTGGTTGTCAATAGTAGATAAAATAGGAGCCGAAAGCTAGGTTGGAAAGAACGTGGTTTATGAGATTGGGTTCTAAATTGCCACCGGCTGTTCGCCGCGATTGAGAATTTTAGACTGATTTTGATTAGAATTTCGCCAGCGGGCGACTAACTTGTAGTCTTTTCAATGGTTTTCGTGTCAGTCATCCCCTTATCAAACAAAACGTCCGTAACATTCTCATTATACTCTTTAACACTCAGCTGGACATAATTTAGAAGTAGGGATATCTTGGAGGCAAAGAAACTTTCCTTTTTTGCATTTTAAATTTTTCTGTTGACCAAAATGTACCACATTGTACGATTGGAAAAAACATTTTTAATGCAACTATGGCACTCGCGATTTCGTGCCTTGTTTTACAGTATTGGAACAAAAAGTGCAAGGCAGACTGAAACGTCTTCTATGGCTAAAGTTATTTATATATGAAGCAACAACATCTTTCAATTCATGTCAGTGATGTATATACCTGGAGTGACGCAGGTTTGTCCAAAGCTTGATGAGCTTTAATGTTTTCTTGACTATGTAGCCTTTCGACGTAGCCTAATTATAACTGATAGTGGTAGAACTTTCTGGTCTTGAACAATAAACAGTTATTCTTTTGATACTTAACAATAAATCCGTCTTTGAAAAATTGTTTGTTTGTCGTACTCTCTCCGAAGCGAAAAATGGAAACTCTCAAAATTCAAAAGTTCCAGTGTTGATGACGTTCGTTTATCTAGCCAGAGACATTCAGATCTACGATAATTGAAAATTGTAAACCTCCACGGTCTCATAAGGCATGTCACACTTGACACTTGCGTCAAGCTTTTTCCGTGTTCAATGGTACAATTAAGAAGCTTAGAAATCCAACAGGCAGTTTTAGTAACAAATATCATCATTTTAAGTACTTTTTACTCGAATCCCAGCTTCCAACGTGAGCTTTCCAAACTTCAGTCACTTTAACCGTCAACAGACCCTTTCAGGACTACTCTCAACCGAACGATAACATTACACGACTGAAGAAAGAGTTTGAAAATAAAAGCGAATGTCTGCGTAAACTTTTATATTCAGTTCACTCAAAGACGCGTAAGCATGCCTGTTCATCATAATATAGACGTTTATTAGTAGTCTGGCGTATCGCTTCTGACTTAATGAAGAAATCTTATATCATTCCCCTCCAACTTGTCTATAAAAAAGTTGGAGGGGACAAGCAGAATTATTTGGTCGACATATTTAAAATGCATCCTGCCTATCAAGTCAGTAGAAGCCTATGCAAATGTTTTCAAGCCCATTCAATCTAGGGTTTTGCCAATTTATTCAACTAACTATCATATCCATCACATGACTTTGTCTTTCCGCAGTTTTTCTTTATTTGTAGTAGCATTGTTTTCTTCGACTTCTTTGAGCTCTTCACTTGGTTTTCTACCAACGAAACAGACTGGATTGTCCTACCGTTCGGCTCGACGTAACTCTGACAAGAAAAAAAACCAATCACAAACGTTTGCGCTACTATCAAACTACAACTGAACCTCGGTGACATACTATGCCAGCAACAGGTAACCACTTGATAGGAAAACAGAATCTGAGGCAGTTACCTTCCCTTCACCACGCTATAGCCCATCAATCTTGTTTAGAACAGAATCATTTGTGGGAATTGTTTTATCGAAAAAAGTTAATTCACCAAGAAAATCAGCCCCCCTGCCCCTCTTTGGGTAAACAATGAAGTAAATCTAAGAACTTACTCGAGTCTAGTGCTGGTCTTGCCCTGTCAGCTTGCTCTGAGTTAAGCACCGTAATTCTTACCTTTCCTTGATGTTCCCTTCTTTCTTGCAGCCTTTTCCTTCTTAAGTAAGAGCTCTTCTTTAGTTTTCCCGCGTTCCTCTTTGGTTTCTCCTAGTTTGCAGCCACCTACTGCCTTTTCTACAAAATAGCAAGAGTGGTCACACAGTTTGCAAGTTGACTCGCTGAGAAAATCAGCCCCCCCTCCCCCTCTTTGGGTAAACAATAAAGTAAATCTATAAAATAGCCAGAGTAGTCACATAATTTACAATTTTCTGCATGAAATAAGTTGATAACATGCTTATTTTTTCATTAATTATATTTCAAAGGTGGGCAGTTCAGCAATTATGTCGTTTTCTCAATAAAAGGACATAATGGCAGGTCTCAATATGAGATGTATGTGCTCCCTCATCTACAGTGTTGTAGTCCTATTTTTGACATGGTAAAATGGAGAACATTAACGCCGTTATAAAAAATCATCAATTTATGTCACACGAAACCCCTCTAGAATCAGCTGATATTAAGTCCTTAGAACGACTTAGTTGCAAAGCAGGCGTAATTTCGGCGGGCGAGCATACATGATTATCTTGGTGAAAATTATAGCTGTAATCTTTGATTTTTACAACAGCAGAAGGTTGGGTAGAGAAAGAAATGTTTACCAGGGGGGTGAGTGACAGTATAAAAGAAGAGGAGATGAGGGGTGGGGCTACGAATACGAACTGTTGCATAAAAATCCTCGATAATTGTTATTCAACCGTATTTGATTCACTTTTACTCCCTCTTCGCCAGTTTTGTCGAAGACGTCCTCAGCTGCCATTTGTAGTAAAACTGTATCTGCATCCATATCTCTTACAAATTCCCGTTTTACTCTTTTCAAAATCTTTCTACGCTCGTCGCCCGGTGGTTTGTCAAGAGTTGAATCACTTGCCCTACCAGTTGCCGCGGTTGCCGTTTACGTTTCAACTAAACAATTCAATTTGAAATGACCATGAAATGTGTGATCAGCAATGTACGATACATAGTCGCTTGTATTTTTATGGTTACACAACTGTTCGAAACGAAGGATGATCACATGGAAACAAGTAACATTTGTGTTACACTGGACAGCAACCACTGTCTATAAAATCAGGGAGGTTTCCATGCATTATTTATTTACGAGATCACCAGAAAATATCTTCATATTGCACTTTGGTTCATCAGGGAGAGTGAAACAAAAGCAAGGAAAAGGAGAAACAAGAAAACAAAAATATGCAATTGCAAAGGAACACTAGAGAGCTCAGTGCTTGCCATGAAATGTATGCTATTCAACTTTTATCATTAGAAACAGCCTTTTCATTTGTAAATAAATAAGTAAAGTGCGGCAAAGAAACGATTAGAAAAGATTATGGCCAAACTTCTTGCAGAAGGTGACACTCTTTCCTACTAAGGAATCATTTTTGATCGAAGAGATATTCTAAGGATATTTTGGAAAGACTTTCGACAAGGGTCCCAACCGTTTATCATAAATACAAGTACTAGATTAGATGAAGCCTTTTAAAACGTTTTAATAAAAAACATCCCTTGAGTGATCAAAAACAGAAAAAGATGCAAAAGGCTGGAAAACACTCAACTCAGCAGAATCCTTATTTTATCCCTAGAATACTATAAGTTGAGTCAATCAGCACAATACAAAACCCCATTCATGAGCGCTTTCAACCATCAAATAATTACAACTTTTTAAACTGACCATATACGACCCACATGCCGAGATTTTAACTGAAAAAAAACTAGGTAGATCGGGTTGATGATGCTCCAGCAAATGCTCAAATTTTACAGAACATTGGCGCTTGACAGTACAGAGCCTATGAAGAATGAGCATGTCAATAATCTATGGAAGACTCGTAATGATTGCATGGCTTTTATCCCTTTACACTCTATCATCAGTATGCATATTCTCTATACTGTTCTCTATACATTTCCTAAGGTGCTAACAAAGAGAATTTGTTTAAAAATCGGGAGTTTCGTTAGTTGGTAATCATTTCCTTTATTCTCATGACCTTAATGTAAATTCAAGGGTGCTTTAACAGGGAGAAGTTAAACGCTAGTCACTCTTAAAGGTTAAAAGGTTATTGACAGTCACAACTTAAACTCACATACGTTAGATTTGAGTCTCGTCACGACTTGATCCATCTCTCTAACGTTTTTGATACTTTCTTTTAACTCACCCAATTTCCTCTGTTCACTTCCCGCCTCATCTCTCCTTCCACTTTGTTTCACGTCTCGTGTCTTCGATACATAGACCTCTTTTGCATCACTGGGCATCGTCTTAGGGGAACCTTCTCTCTCGCTGGCTTGGTGTTGCCAGGTCTCGCCCCATAATAACCAAGGAAAGACTAAATATAACATTAGTAGTTACCATCTAGTAAAAATTATCCATCACTACGCAAGAACAACCAAAAGATATCACCTATTAATTCCAGGACAGCCATGAAAAACGGAATTTAGGCGAATCACACGGTATCGTTAGCACACTAGTTGTGCACTTTAGAATCAACACATTTCTGTGTTATTTATCTCTACAAGACAATAACAGCTAAAATGTTATTCAAGGTTTCTCTAGGTTACCCATGGAGTGACGGGTTCTTGAGTGCTCTCTGTTTTCAACTCAGCCGTTGATGAAAACCATGTTATAACATTTTGTTTTGCGTATGTTCAAAATTTAATAAAGAGAAGACTCTAGTGACATTTGCGTATTGAATTTACAAGTGACAAATTAATGTCCGCTCTGAAGCTCTGGTGGATAGAGATCAATTTGCTAGCTTCATATAATGATTTACGATGTAAAGACACGACAGAATTAGTTACTCACTGAGATTTTCAGTTAGGTTGAGGTTAAGATTTCAACCAACTGCACACTGGCACAAACACATGCCTAACCTGGTTTGTGAATCCGAAAAGGAAAAACTGCAGTAGGATTTCAGGATTTAAAAAGATCACGACAAAAACCTCTACAAGCCTTATATTGAGCATCTGAAAGGATAGTCACCAAAGACATGGTACTGAACGATGTATTAAAACATGAGATGAAGCGCATCTTAAACCATGAGTCAGAAAAGGTTATCCCAATACTTCTCTGTGTTCTAGAACACTACAAGAGGATTTGAAAATTGGCTGTTTGGGGATGCCTTAAAACTGAAAACTTTCGATGAGTTCAGCCAATATGATATGAAAAGCGCGAGATACATAAGATAGTACATGCATCATTATTTATACACTCGCTAATTCTTCACAGACCGCTAAGTTATCAAGGAGAATCTGTGTAAATATTGATCGTACCTTCCTCCTCACTGCTATATGTTTCATGATATTTGCTCTCTCCTCGTTTTTCTTCTCGTACAATTTCTATTCCAGAAACGAGGAAATTCAATGATCAGAAAATTTAGATCGTATGAATGAATAATACAAATGCAGATTGCAGGTTGTAAAAGCAACTAAAAACACTGTGACCACGTTTAACTGTACCACAGAAAATTTCAAGAACTCATTGGGAGAATTCTGTGGACTTCAAGCGAAATGGACGATTTCCATTAAAAGTACAGATTTAAGTACCTAGCAATTTTTCTGCGATCCTTTTCATGCCTCTCGCAGTAAGGACAGACTCAAGACGTCCCACAGTTGCCCTGTGCCCTTCCTTATCCCTCCATGACTGGAGAACAGCAAATCCCTTATCGCGAGCTTTATGGTAATCCTTGTCTATGTTGCGAATTTCGCTCTCACGAACT